GGAAGGAAAGAAGAAAGAGAGAGAGAGAAAGAAAGAAGAAAGAAAGAAAGAAAGGAAGGAAGAAAGAAAGGAAGAAAGAGAAAGAAAGAAAGAAAGAAAGAGAGAAAGAAAGAAAGAAAGAGAAAGAAAGAAGGAAGGAAGGAAAGAGAAAGAGAAGAAAGAGAGAGAAAGAAATAAAGAAAGAAAGAGAAGAAAGAGAGAAAGAAAGAGAAGAAAGAGAGAGAGAGACAGAAGGAAGGAAAGAAAGAGAGAAAGAAAAAGAAAGAAGGAAAGAAGGAAGGAAGGAAGGAAGGAAGGAAAAGAAAGACTACGGCACTCTCCAGTTAAAAAGAAAGCTATATGGGCTTTCCACACTAAACCCAGGCTGGGCAGAAGAAAGTGATGCATATTGGAGGCCCATATTTTTCAGCACTGTTGTCCCAACATTTAGAAACACCCCTGGCATAAAAACAACACTGTAGCTTTTAGAAATTTTGTTGTGTGTGTTTTTTTTTTAACACTAAAAAATGAGATTTAGCCCACAATTTAATATTGTCAATACATATTCTTCATTACACAACTGGCATGCCAACTGTTACCTAAGCACTTCAGACTCTTCAAATCCCACACCCACACATTCTGAACTCATCTGCATCCAGATATGAATAAAGATGAATAGCATCTTGAGGAAACTGCTTCTCCATTCTCAAATGGCAAAAGCCATGGAGTATACTCCTCATAGTGTCTGAGGAATTTCTAAGAGCAACAAGAAAAAATCCTAAAGTCACTATTTTGTAAGAAAAATCACATCCTTCTATGGCAACCTGCCCACTGGGGATTTCAAATTAAAAGGGACCTTAGAATTCCCTTCCTGTAATTCTCTCTCTCTCTCTTTTTTTTTTTTTTTTTTTTTAAAGGACTTCTTTATTTTACTAAACTCAAGTTAATTAGGTTTTGGCAGGTCAGCAGCTCAATTCAGCATCTCTTTATAGAGAATGGTTCTAAGAGATCTTTATGAAATTGCAAATGCTTAGAAACAGTCATTTGCTTGCATGCTGGGTAAATAGGAAAGCATGCTGACTGTATTTATTTTCCTATCATTATGTCACTGTGGGGTGAGCTAGTAAAAAAAGTAGAGGTTGCTAACATTTTGGGGGTGTGTGTGTGTGCATCCTAAAATAATTTATTTTTTTCTTCATCTCAAACCATTATTCCATGATTGCAGGAAGTCCCCAACACTAGAATAAACTGTTCGCTAAATGTTTATTTATAAATTGGATTTTTTCACTTAAATCATTAGTGTTCATTGATTCATTCAACAGATAGTTTCTGAGTGCCAATTATGGGCCAGGCTTGTGATATACACAGATGCAAAAGCGAGGTCCATTTTTATCCCAAGAGATGCTTACAAGGTGATGAGATGCCCAGGCTAACCTACATTAATTTCTTGTCTTAGTTAGGGCTGCCTTAACAAATTGCCATAGACTGGGTGGCTTAAACAACAGGAATTCATTTCTCACAGTTCTGGAGAAGATACCAGCAGGGTTGATACCTGGTGTAGGCTCTTTCCTTGGGTTGCAGACAGCCGCCTTCTCACTGTGTCCTCACATGGCCTTTCCTTGGTGCGTGCAGGCGGAGAGAGAGAGGAAGCACGCTTTCTGGTGTCTTTTCTTGTAAAAACACTAATCTCATGCTGAGGACCCCACCTTCATGACTTCATCTAGATCTAATTACTTCCCAAAGGCCCTGTCTCTAAATACCATCTCATTGGGGCTTAGGACTTTGATACTTCCTTAATAGCAAATGTGCTATTTCATCTATAATATTAGTTCAGTAGAACAAGGTGTCTCAAATCCACCTCAGAGGAGAGGAACCTTGGCCCCTCTGGGACTCCTGCAGTGGTTCGGGGAACAGGGCTCCAGAAACTGGCAGGAAACAGGAGCTATAGAGGCATCAGACACTGCAGTCCTGAGGTCCAGGTGGCTTGAGGCTCAGAGGAGACTAAAACAGACTCTGAGGCTCAGGTCAGTTCCAGAAGCAGAGGTAGTAAAATTTTTGCAGTGGAGCCAAAACTCATAATGAATGTGCTTCTGAAAGTTAGGTATCCTTATTTCAAGGTCTGCCTGTATCTTTGAAGCTTCTTATGATCATGTTCAATCAGGCAATACAACAAAACAAATAAAGATAACACAAATCAGACAACACCAACATTCAATGTATTATAATAGCCTGGAGTTTTTGCAAAGCTGCAATTACACAGAGCTTTTAGCCAGCCCCAATGAAGCAAGCTGGGTACATATCCAACTCTCAGCAGTGTCAAAGCCAACATTCACCAAGCTCAGCCCCTCAACCAGAAATAATTTGACTTTTATAGGGTTTGATCATTTCCTTAAAAGCCTTTATGATCAAAGCCAGCCTGGAAAGGAAAGGGATCAAAAGATGGGAAATTACACAAATGCAAGTGCAGATTTTGACATAACCCCCATTAACAAGTAGTGCAGCAGATGCCTTTTCAGAGAATCCCCCCCCATCTCAAGGAAACAACAAACACACACCATGTCGACGTGAAATGAACCTTTTCTCTGTCACCCTGAATCTATGCAGAATCAATAAATGACTCTTAGCTGGATCTTTGACACACAGACTTTCAAAATGGAATGTCAAGCTCCTTGTGATGTTTTTAACAGAATAAAGGGGAAAAATACACCTACGTTTTTCTTCCCCCATCTATTGTTAAAATTAACAAGGCAGGTGAGGACATTCAGGTGTCTTTGGGTGACTTAAACCATGCTGAGGGCTGTACTGAGTGTATGGCTCTGCCACAGCACGCTAGGACCCAGGAAGAATTCTAACACTTGTCTGATTCTTTGCAAGGACTTTTATCTCCATCATCCAAAAAGCTCCTCACAGCAAGGTATGAAAGACAAGAAATATAGCCATTTGGCAGAAAACCAAGGCTCAGAGAGCTTAAGAAACTCTCACCTGTGGTCACACAGCTAATGGCAGAATCATATTCAAAATCAGAAATCTCAACTGCAGAGCTTATCATCCTTAACCAAGCCTGGAAACCCAGGGCTCCACTTTTCTGTGGAAAGCTGAGTATAACCTGCATATGTGTTTTGTTTTGTTTTATTTTGTTTTTAATTTAATTAGTTCTACTATGTTTTAAATGAATTGGTTCTACCAAACATTAGGATCTTACACATGAAAATATGGACTTCTGACACCTTTTGGAAAACCCAAAGTTCAGACCTACACTGGTGCAGGCAACAGGAGAAAAAAAAAAAAGGACTAAAAGGAGACTGCAGCTCACTTCCTGGAAGATCTTGCCATAACCCAGAGCTGATCAAAGATCTCCTCTGTCTGTGACCTCATGCTCAGCTACACAAAACCCTAACAAGTCATTATTCTGTTCCCTTTTCCTGTGTCTGTGCTTTCCCTCCTCCTGGGATAACCCCATCTGTCTTATCAATTTGGTGGGTATACATAATCTTCTTCCAGGATTCGGTTCAAATGGACCTGGCTCCACGAAGAATTGACCGTGAAGTCAATTCTGATACCCCTGGGATAATCAGGCTTTGTTCAGGGTTCTTGAACATTTTCTTATGCTTGTTTTACAAACCTGCTTTCATCTGTGCACATTCAGTGCTGAGTACACAGTAAGCAATCAATAATATTTTGTTCGATAATAATAACAATGACTTAAGTAGTACTTCTCATGTGCCAGATACTGTTAAAAAGCACCTTGTTCATGTTAATTCATTTAAGCCACACAACTACCTATTATTATACCCATTTCACATAGAGAAAACTGAGACATACTAAAGGTTAGAAAAATTTCCCACAGTCACTCACTCAGCTATTAAACGGCAGATTAATTAGAACGTAGTCGGGCTACCTTTGGATGAATGAGTGGGTGTGTAGGTGGATGAATAATTAGACAGAAGAAAGGGAGAGAGAGAAGAAGAGAAAGGAAGAAGAGAGGGGAGGACAGATAAACTGTCAGCAATAGGGAATGGCGGCGGAGGCAGATGTGAAAAAGTGCTTTCTGTTGCAGGGGCATCGAGTCTTTTGGTGGGGTAGGGGCAGCAGTATGTGCTTGTAAACTCTACAACCAGCTTTCTAAGGGAAAATGCTTGCTTCGTAGTATAAACAGTGGTGCAAATCCTCCTACCATGGCTGATTTCATGATGCCAACGTGATATCTGATTACAGAGTTGGAGAGGGCCAGTTCGAACACACCAGGGCACAGGGTATGCCAAGGAAAATGGCACATAAAGTGACAGGTAACAGCCAGGTGACAAAGGACTGTGGAGGCCAAAGCAACTCCATCTTGCATGCTAATCCACCATGTTGACTTCTGATGAACTTCAGTTCCTGGAAGGCCTCTAAGATTTTCCACTTATCTAGTGTTCCTTGTGTAAGAGCGGGTACTTACTTACTATAAATCCTGCCCTTAGGTCAAACAAAGTTGATGTTACCATATTCAATAGTCCTACAAATCCTTTCGGAATCATCCCTTTCCTATAATATGTAAACCCTGGGTCTAGTGGGTAATGGCTCAGGGATCCACCAAGATGGGCACATAGTCAAAATCTAAGGAACTCTTCTTCATCTTCCTATATCTTGCCTACATGACAATTATCTTGTCTCGCTATCGCCTGACATACAGACATGACTTCTGTTCCTAAGTCCCAATTGTAGGTTTCTTTCTGATAAACTAGATTTGTCAGCCTCTTTCTTCAGCCTCTCAGCTTCCTTGAACTTTGGGATAGGTTTGCGTAGACCTGCCCATTGCTAATCAAGGACCTGTTAAACCATACTAAGGATGCAATCCTCTTATATGCAAGCAGGAGTAATTTAAAGGATTTTAGCACAGAGTGATATGATCATATGCTTATAAAGAGTTGGACACAAGCACATAGTCAAAATCTAAGGAACCCTTCTTCATCTTCCTATATCTTGCCTACATGACAATTATTGCCACAAGAAAAGTTATCAATTGTTTCACCCCTTCGTACCTTGTCCCTTTACCGGTCAGCTATTTCTCTCTCTGTGTCACTCCCCCTCATCCTTTTATTGTAGGTTCCCAGAAGTGCTCCAGGTGTAACAGACCCTCAGGACTGTAGAGTGTCCATCTATCATTGTTGGATCTGTAACATGTAAGGGCTGGAAGACCTAAGCAAAGAAATGAGTCTGAATCAACTTAAACAGAGAAGACATCATATGGAGTAAAAATAAAACAATGTCAGACACATCTTTGACATTATACACACATATAACTGAAAAGGACTTTAGAAATCATTTAATTCCTAACTTTCCTCTTACTGGGGAAGTAGAGCCCAGAACATTTGGCGTAACCAGCCCAGTGCCACAGAGATGGTTAGAGTCAAAGCTGGAACTGGAACTAGAACTAGGTTGCCTGGTTCCCAAATAGTCTATACGCACATAAAGAGGGCATTTTCTGAGATGTCGCCACCCCTGCAAAGTCAAAAGCTTTCTTAGAAGAGTTTTTTTCTTCTACTAAGCAGGTTCTATTTCATCAAACAGAACAAACAAAAACATGCTAATTTCCAGGAGCAGGGACATTCTGTTATCTTCTTCCAACACTGGACAACATGAGCCATCTGTTTAGGAAAACACTCCATGACCACAGTTCCCTCTTTATCACTCAAGGCCTTATTATCTACTCTAAAAATTCTTCAGATCCTGACCTCTTCCCATGGTTCTCCATCTACCTGCCTGGGCCGAAGCCATTTCCTGATAACTGGGAAGTGGGAAGGGAAACGAAGTGAATCTTTAAAAACTATTTTGGCAAGTCTACTCAAGAGAAATTGTTGGAGGGGGAGTTGAAACTTTTGGCTGAAATGCAATGGAGTCTGATAATTCACCCTCATTTCAGGTGATATTGGCCAAGGCTACAGTGAACCTAGCCAAGGGGGCCACTGGGAGCTAAAACACAAGCCAGGGTTCGTCGGGCCAGGATCCAGGAGGCTATTTTTGCTCCAAGGAAGCCCATTTTTCATTTCTCACAAAGGCATCCCATATCTTGGTTGTGGCCCTGATAAAGGATCCTTTTCCAGCTGAAGGTCTTCTCTACTTTCCAATACCACTATCCACAGTCTTGATCCCTAAGAACAGAGCAGAAAAAGCCGCTTTCCCGAGTCAGAGAAGTGAAAACTGATCTGGGGAGGAAGGTCCCAAAGTGCTAACGCTGCTAGAAGATCCCAGAGTGCTAAAGCAGCTGTATTACCATTTGCCTGGGCCTGTCCCAATTTATACTTACTGTCTTGGAAAAACAACTAAGAGCCCTTTCATTCGCCAAAGTGTCCCAGTGGGAAATGATAAATTATACGGTTGCCATTATCTGGAGTTCTTGGGGTCAGAGACCTCCAAGGCATCTACCAATAGAATTCAACGCATTCATGAACCTGCATGGAAAAAAAAAAATCGCAACTTTGTGAAGCTTAAACGGCAATGTACCATCTCATTCCATTTTGAACACAGGCCATAAACCTCAATAGTAGCAGTACTAGTGATTAAGTCACCAATATAAATATTTTCATATCACAATACAGCTGCTATAGTTATCTCATAGGAGCATGTATGCCCATTCCTACTTCGAAACAATACTAGCCACTAGTCCCACTACAAGATCTTGTTATAGAGGCATTATGTAAGAAGCACATACATTAGTAACAGTAGTTTCTTTTATAAGTCGATAAACAGATATTTCAATAAAATTGGTTTGTGCTATAATCATATGTATTATATTTTATTCATTTAAAAACACCATTCCAGGGCCCCTAGGCTTTGTCAGACTGTCAAAGTGCACCATGGAGTAAATCAGAGAAGACCTTGGCCTGGAGATTGATAAAGCCACACTAATGTGGCACTCTGATATGTGAGAAAGAGACCTTGTCCTCTGGCTGGGGAGCTAGGCTGCCTGTGAATTATCTACGCTATGCAGTGTTATTTAGTGCGTTCGTTTTCCTTATAAGCCTCTTCTTTCAGTCTTTATTACTCCCATTCTCTTTTTTTGCCTTCTCTTATTTTTATTGTTTTGTTTTGTTTTTTCCCCCCTTATCCTTTGGTTTAGGTTTACTATCAGGTATTTCTTAGTCTTGCTGTGCTAAGTATCGGGTTCTCTTCCTTTGGGTAGGTTTTTTGTGGTTGCTGTTTTTGTTTTTGTTTTGCCATGCTTCTCTTACTCCTCTTTCTCTCTTGCCCCCACCTTTCCCACCCTTCTGTGCTGTTGTCTGCTGCCTCTAGCTTGGCCCTCCTGACTTGGCTGGCCACACACCATACCCCTTTCACAGGTTTTGTAGCGGAAGCATTGGGTATCAACAGTCCACAGTACATCTTCCCTTTGGGAATCATTTTCAGTTTACTAGCAGACACTGTTTCCGAGCCACAGTTAAAATAACAAACTGGCCACTCCAATAAATGACCGCACAACACATAGTAGCAGGAAAATAAAAGCTTTGAAACCCTAAGCTTAAATATAATTGTGGAAAGGGTGAAAAGTATTCCACTTAATAATCCGTGATGGCCAGACATCTAGGGAAGATCAGCAGCCTGGACCAGGACTCTTCTCAGTGCATAAATTCCCAGTGCAGCATAGGAAAAGCATACTGCTTAGTCACTGCTAACAGGGGGAGCCCTCTGTAGCAGGCCTATACAATGATTATTTCTCCAAATCAGAGCTCAGGTTAGAAGACTCAGGGGAAAGCCATGAGACCTCATGACCTTTGTGCTTTAGCTTTAGAGAACTATGCACTGTGCCTTCAGCACGGTCATCACCAGAGGACATATTTGTCCTGAACTATTATAGCAGTCTCTCCCAGTAAGTTACTGAATATTTCTTCTATCAATGACCTAAAATTGGAAGGAAGAAGGGAAGGAAGGAAGGAAGGAAGGAAGGAAGGAAGGAAGGAAGGAAGGAAGGAAGGGTGGGAGGGAGCGAAGGAGGGAGTGAGGGAGGGAAGGAAGGAAGGAGATGGGGTAGGGGGGCGGGTGGTAGAGGAGGAAAAGAGAATAAAAGGAAACTAATCTGTATTTGGAAACATACTTACCACTTTGTCAAATATTACTCCATGGTTGAGGATAGCTTCACATATTTGTAATATTTGTTTCCATTTTATTTCTAACGAAAGGCATCTAAAGCATTTTTTTAAACTGTCTGAAAATGCAGTGACATTTGCACTGGACAAGTATTAACATAAAAGGTAGCTGAGAGAGCTTAGGATAAAATGAAACTGTAAATTTCATAACCTTTCCTAATCTGTTCATTTATTCTCCTAAAGAATAAAATCTGGTTTTATTTGGGGAGGATTTTTTTTTTTAAGTATTTACTCCTTTATCTATTTTGAAAGAACTATATGGCTCTTACTATTAACTTACCAGCTGTGGTGGAGAAATAGTATGTTCAAACCTATCAGCTTTTGAGAAGATTCCAGATTTCATTCTCATATGAAATGACCATTTCGTTTGTCATTGTCATGTTGAGATGTATTAACTCACTAAGTTTTTATAAAGTATATGTAGATATATACTAACATCTAAGGTATAAGAGCTTCCATCATGACTCCAAACCACTTATCAAATAAAGTTCACAAAGTCACAATCGGCAGATAATAAAATAAATACAAAATTTATTAATCTTATGGATTATTCAAATCTAAATATAGATTAAGATATTTTATATTTGTTTAAAATAAAATCAATAAGGGTAAAGCTTCTCAGGTCCTACTCTCAGCTTTTTTTTTTTTTAGTATCTTCTTCAAACTCTTTCTACAGAACCTTATTATTTAGCTTCTCTTGCTATTAAAAATAGTCAAGATCAGATATTCTAAATCTTGATTATTTTTTAGTTTCAAATATCTAACCCAAGACTTTTAACTCATACTGTGTATTGTATAAGCATATCTATTCATTGTGTTCTGAATAAAAGTTTTTATTTTTTCATATCCTTTGTCTCAGAGCATATTGCTTAATAGTAATTGTTATTCTAAAGTCAACAAACTCATATTTATATGATTTAAGATAAAGGCACACCCCAAAGAATTTCCCCAGAAGATGTGTGATGTGGGACTTTTGATACTGCACACATAGAAGCCACAATAAAATAAGTAGAGGGGATTGGACCACATAAGTAAGATAAGGATACAGCTCCCATGAATAAACTAGGAACTGGACACCAGAATGTCTGCCCAGGTTCCAAAGGATTCCCCTTCCTGTGGTCCCTGGGACAGAAACCATTTCTTTTGGATATTGTCACACTTAATTTCAGTGTTACATCTCTTTTCTTTAACACTGCTGCAACTCAACTAAGCTGGTATCCCCACCTCCAGAAGGTCACCCTTCTGGATGATCTGGTTTCGAATGGCTCTTCCTGAAGAGTGGGGCAGCTGTGCAAGTTTTTCCTACTTGCATAAAAACAAAATTGGTTTCTAATGAATTCTCTGGAAAATGAATGCTTTCCCTTGAGATAACTGGGGTCTTGGGGATTCAGAACAGTCGACCTGACACAAAAGGCAGACTGAGGTTGGGGGTAGGAATAAAAGGAAGAAGAGGGAGCAGCTCTTAGTGCATGCTGGATCTCTGTGGGCATTTTGGTCACACCTGGGTCCCTCAGCAGCGAAGCCTCACCTCCATCTTCCTCCACCCATCCCTCCTCTGACAATAATGTTGACTCACTCTCTTCTTTTCTTCTTCCACCTCCCTTACTATAGGATGACCTAGGTCCTAGTGTGCCACAGCATTAGAGATAGAAATCCTATTCCAGGTGACATAAAAGGCACCAGGTTTCCACCATCTGTCTATGACTCTTGCCCTGCTGATGTGATTCTGAAAAACAGGATTCTTCTATCCCCCCTATTGATTATGACTATTACTGTAGTCATAGTCAATATTACTATTGACTTTGTGTTAGTTTGTCTCCAAAGAGAGGACATCCTGGTACTATAGAGAAAAGACATGAGGTGTTCTTGGAAACTAGAGCTTTGTCTCATGAAATGCTTAAAGGTGTATGAAATCCTCAAGTGACTGGAGAAAGCCCCCTTTGTTGAAGGGGCTAGGTAGGCAAGGAAGTGACAAATATTATTGGAAGTGACAAAGAACTGTTTTTCCTCTTTCTGAGCCTCAAGTACAGAAATATATTGTTTTGCCTCAGCTTTACATCAGCATAAACTTTAATGAAAAGTCAAAAATCCACGAGAAATCCAATAATTCATGCCATTGTATTCAAAAGAATGTTTCCTGTGATAGGAAAAATTCCCTATTATTTTCACAAGTACTTGGAAGTATGGAAGGATGAAGCAACTCAATCTAACAGAAGACTTTGCTAAAATCATTAGAAATCATTTAGTCTTATTTAGAATCATCCAGAGGAGACTTGCATAGTTAATTTTTGTTGATCTGAAGACTTATAAATATTCTGCAAATTTTTATTTCTGCAAAAAGAGTCACATTTGTGGTAGCTTATTCATTATATATGATATAGAGTTTTTCTGCTTACGCTGATTGAGAAGCATTTATGGGAAAATAAGCAAAACACTCTTTCTAAAATAAAAATTATTTTCCTAATTAATTTTAAGATGCTAAAAAAATAGCGGGAGTGAGCATAACTTATTTATGTATAATGGTACCATATTTGAGCAACAGTCAAAAGGCAGTGGTTCTAGCATTAGTTACGCTACAAATGCACCAAGCGGCCTTGAGCTCAGCATTGAATCTCCTCCCTGAGTCTGGATTGGGTGGGATGATATCTGAGATTCCTCTTAGCTCTAATTCTGTGACTCAATTCAGAGAGAGGTTTTCATTTGCCGAATACAATTGCTACATAAAACTGCCTCTAGTTCTTGACCACAGAGCAAATCCCTGTTCATATTTGGATCCCTCCTTCCATTTATCTTCCTATTTAAAAAGAGAATGTCTACGAAAGGTTCAGAAGAGAAGTCCAGTACCAGTAGCCAGTTTTGTAAATCGATTTACAGTACTAGTATTCCACTATACCAAGATGTACCCCACCAAACTTTGAGACAGGCGATATGCAACATCAGTCTTCCCAATACTCTGGTCACAGGGGCTCACAGGCCAGGACTGGCACTCATAGGATGCCCCTGCAGTTTGGAGTAAAGGGTTAGGGGCCTCACTCATGCTTCCTTCTAGACAAAGGGTTTTCAGTACCAAATAGGGCTGGGAGTATGGGACATACTCAGTGTTCTCTGCTCACCAGACCAATCAGCCCCACCATTTCCTGGCTGAATGCCAATAAGCAGATAACTTGATTTCTTCAATACTGGGTTTCCCCATCTATAACACGAGATAAGTATCTCTACCCATCTTTCAGGACTGTTGTGAGGGTTAAATCTAACACAAGCACACACAATATCACATATAGTGTCTGGAATAGAGTAAGAACTCCACACCCGCTAGCCTGCGCTGATTGTTACATTACTATTTGTCTCCCCAGCACGGTTCAGCAACCTGAAATAAACCCACCTTGATGTGGATCTGTAGTCTTTCCTCAAGTTACCAAGGGACATATTCTAACTTGTTTCGACATGCAAAAAGAAGTGGCCAGAGCGCAAATTCAGGCGACAGATAAGCATTCAGAAAGAAATGAGCCCAGCGAGGGGGGACGGGGGTCAGAGCTAAATCTCGTGGAGTGTGAGTTTTAAGTCTAGGATCCTACCTCAGGTATCCAGGTGCTTGTGAAGAAGCCCGGCTCTCTCACCAGGCCTGGCCTGTGAGGGTGTGGCCTTTGTGCTCAGGAACTGCACCAGGAGCCTGAGCGCAGGGAATCCCCGTTCTGCTCCTTGGGGCTCTGGAGTTTGCCACCGCTAAGGCACGGAGCTACCTGCTCCAGGGGTGCCCCGGAATGGGAGGGACTGACCTCGGGATTTCTCCCGGGAGCCCTGGCGAGTCGACGTTTCCTTCGATGTGGCCAAGGCGAGGGACCCAGAAAAAGGAACTGCTCTGAATTTTGCTTTTTCCCAACTGGTACAAAGGAGCAGGAGTAGGGCACCCGCGGAGAAAGTAAGAAAAGCCTGCACGTGGAAGGTCTGAACAGGGAGGACCTAAAGGTTGTACAGGGTTCCAAACCCACCCAACCAAATGTTTCCCTATAGGGCTACTAAGAACCAGGGATCCACTCTCAGCCAAAGGCACCTCTGGGAGAGGAGCATACACCTCCTCAGGGAGAGAAGGGTTAAGTGAGGTGCTTACTGTCCTTGGTAGTCACTGTGCCCCCACCCGGAAGTAGGGGGCTAGGTGGATAAAAGGGAGGGGAGGCTGCCTCTTTGAAACAGCTGACTAAGCCCCCTCCCGCAAACGGTCTTGCACTCCAGATTGCTGGGGTGCACAGGAGAAAAGAACCTCCCCTTCCTGCATTTGCCAGAGCATCTGGAACCACCAGAAGGATCTACCTGGAAACTGCAAGGTGGGCAGATCCACCTCTGCCTGGGCTCCCAGGTCTAAGAGCTGGGTCTCCCCTCACCCGAGGCCCACACCTCCTAGCTCTGCGTTTCCCTGCGCGCCCTCCAGCTCTGCGCTCCCCAGCCTCCCGGGCGCAGCACAGGGTTCCCCCCACTCCCTCGCTCCGCCCAGGTGCGATTTGTGGAGGGGCGGGGGAAAGTGGCTCCCACCGCAGCCTCCGCTCCTGCGCTCTCCTCCAACCACTTTGGACCCCTGTTTACTCGCCGGGCGCTGGGGACTCCCCTCTACCCCGCACACACGTCTCCCCCTGGGAGGCAGGAGTCCCCTTCCTACACTGCGGCTGCGGAAACATCCTTGACTCCCGAGCGCCTGGCAGAGAAGGTGGGCGTGGGTCTACCGACCTGGCTGCGGAGGTGAAGGAACGTAGAAGCAAGCGGGTGCCAGAGAAGAGAG